GGAGCATCCAGGCCATTCCCTTTTCTTAAGCCTGGCTCCCTTAGCAAATTACACTTCCTAAGGCATTCTGTGGCCTGTTAGTGCCTGGAGGAGTTAAGGAAATGAACAATTTCCTTCCTATTCCAAGTCAGATGAGGCTTTTCAAGGCCAGCTGAATGATTTCCTGTTCAACATTTCTTTAAACGTCCTAGAGATCACCATTGTATCATTTTTCCTGAATAAAGTAAGCTGTCAAAGGGGTCATCATGTGTACTTGCTTTGAGGTGGCAGTTACGTTTATGCATTAATCTCGACAAAGACTGAAAGTAAGGTAAAAAAAAAAAAGAGATGAAAAATCAGTCAGTAGTTTGTCTTACTTACTTCTGCCTGATCAATGAATATAATTGTACTGCTACATTGTAGTTCTGATCCCCCAACAAATAAAAGTAAACTTTTGAGGGTTAAAAAAAAGGCCTAGAAAGTTATTCCCACATATTTTTCACTGGAAGCAACCAGATGGGTTCAATCTGGCATTTAAATGATGTATCCTAAATCTAACAACACTCTCATCAGCTGGAGGCAAATTCAAAACGACACAGTTCAAATCTCAACAGAGGAGAATCCCATCCCCTTATTGTAGTACTAGAATGTCACTACTCTTATCTTCAGAAAAATGTGACTCCCCTGGAGTCCTACTAATTGTAGAAATCTATCTCTAACCACAACTCCCTCAGCATTGATTGGGTAGCAATTGATTCCTGACAGTCTTTGAAGCATGTTCACTTTACTCATCCTATTGATTCCTCAGCTGACATCCTTTGAAGAAAGTTCACTTTATTGTATTTATTTATAAGATTGTCTGTGTTTGATTAGCTTCACTGCCTAAACCTCGCCTCCCCCCATCTCTTAGTCTCAGTTTGGGGTCTGAATTTTGTTCACGTTGTCCTGCTTGGTGGAAGAGAGAAGAATACTTTGCTTACGGATTCTTGCTGCTGGTTTTCAGGAAAATCTGATAAAAACATATGCCTGGATCAAGACAAGCCATGATCAGCAGTGAAGAATCAGCTCTAAGGGTATGACTCCCACAGTGGGTTAGGAATTTGTGTTTTGCCTACCGAGAGGACATGTTCATCATTATATGCCTACCTTTAAATCAAATAGATCATAAATATACCATTCTGTTGTTGAGGAAAAAAACAATTAACATCTGAAAGTATTTCCGAGTGAAGCCATAGCTTCAACTGATTGATCAATCTGTTTATCTATCTATACATAACCATAATGTGATCCAGTCTCCATACTTACCACAGTGATTCTATGAAACTGATATCTGTATTTGTATCTTCTGCATGGTGTTTAGTTTGGTGGAACCACAATGTTAGTATATTCTTCTGTTCTATGAAGTTTTACTTATTTCTTGACAATTCAGTTTTTCATGTTTTAATCATAGTTTTTTCCTGAACATATTGTAGAGTGGTTGCTTTCCAACATACTGTATTTTTGGACAGAGTACTAACCAATCTTTTTCTTACATTTTGGGGTTACTAAAACTATCTAATATTCAATAGGGGTATCTTCTTATGCTAAAGACTTCAGTAATTTTCCTGTATCACTTAATGAGACAGGCTGCTGGTAATATTTTCATATTCCATATCAGGAAATAAATGATATTTTCTGCCTTACCACAGAAAGCTGCAATATTAGCTGGAGCAGAAGCAGGAGATAATAGTCTGGAGCACTGTTCCTGCTTTACTGCAGCAGTTCAGAAGTGACAGCCACAACTTCTAAACATTACCATTTAATTTAAGCAATGTGAATCTCTCTGGTGGGGGGAAGAGATGACTTGCTGACAGTATATCATTTTTTCATTATACTTTGCAAAGTAATTACAGGTTGCTACAGACATTTAGAAACTGTTCTATGTGGCTTAAAAGAAGAAGGGATTAAGACTATGCAAAATTATGCTTTTTAAATCCAAAATTAATAAAAACAGAAAAACTTAATATGACGCTTAGGACCTTTCCTAGGGTTCAGTACACTAAACATGTAAAGTGTATTAAAAGGTAGAAACCATATACCTTTCTTTACATTATTCTACAGCTGTCATTTATTTCATTTTGGTATAAAAGTAATTATTGTTCTGAGCATAATAGTATACATTTCCTTTATCCTGCACCAGCAATCCAATTACAATGTACTTCAATTCAGATTAATCAGGCCAAGATGGCAATTCCATTATACTAAGAGTAAAATTTAATAGTCTAATATATGTCTAAAGTTTCAATGGCTGAAAGTATGTGTTTAACTACTTTAGGGACTTAATAAAGATTAAAGTTAAACATCATTCATCCTAATCAGACCTTTAGTGGAAAACACTCATTACAAAATATGGTTGACCATGGTGTATGTAATACGTCTGTAGAAGCATTAAACTCCACTTACAGCTTTCATTTGAGAGGTATCTAATAATGGAAAAGATGTTTAATTATGGATGTAAGATGTTTTTATTTATTTTAACTTTGTTACTATTTAACATTAGTCAGAATGCAATATTAGAGTTAGGATTATGCTGTAGACTGAAGGAAAAAATATAGTGTACAAGGAGAGCAGAGATCATTTAGGTAAAATAATACATATTTGGTTTTAAACATATTTAACCCAAGAATACATATAAGAAGGAACCAGCTCCAATTATATGGCATCTTTCTGTGTCTAAATAGGGCCTTAGTGAATTAAGAAGTTAATGCCCCTCTAAAAAAACTGCTTACTTCCTCTTCAGAAACAAGAAGGCCTGTCACACTAGGTACTAGCAGGAAAGTGACAAAAATTTTAAGCCTTTATATATTCACTTAAAGGTTGCATTGTGATCTTTAGCCACTGTCTTTCCTCCAAAGTTCTGCAATGGTTAGTTGCTTTTTCTTAAAAAGAAGTAGAAAGAGTTGCTTTAGTAACTTTATAGTACAGAAATTATTTATGTTTTGTTTAATTGTTCCTTTAAGTAAAAAAATCTGTTACCTAATGCATGCACCATCTTTCTTTGAAATCAAGTGACCTAATACCATTTCTTTACAAATGATCTTTAGTTACTGCACAAATCCATATTTTGTATTTCCTATTGAATCTCTTGCTGTTTAGAGTAAGATTCAGGAACACAGAATCATGGCGCACCATGTCAGATTTAGATTCAAACATGATGAATCTGGGAAAATTCTAATGCATTTGAATATACAGGTTACAGTGTTAATTAATATCTCTAGTAAAATTTAAACTATGGGTTGGATTTGGAAACCATTTTATATCCTACATGCTATACTGTGAACTCCTAGAGTGGGAGTAACATGTTTTAAGTCCCAGTGAACAGCACAGAGCCGTGAATTAAATGAATCAATCTAGAAAATCTTCAACCTGAGAAATTGCTTTGGTTATAGATGAAATTTGTCAATGAAGTATATTTCCTTATTTGTAAAAATGATGTAGCAAATATGCCTAACAGTGTTTTCTAGAGGAATCAATATATACTAATAAATCTACTTTAGCCTCTCTTATTTGTTTCCTCTTCTGAAGCATTTGGCAAATCTGTGCCTAATGGTCTTAAAATTTTCATGGCCTTGATAAAACAGAGTAGGTATGGAACCATGACCAAGTGCAGCAAAGACCTGGGTCTCCCCCTGACACCAATCCCAGCAAGGAAGAGGAAAAGAAAGCTAATAAACTTCCCTTGCCCTCAGATATATTTTGCATACACTTTGGTTTTTGTGAGTGGCTATACTGCAAAGCCAAGAGATGAGGAGTGTGAAAAGGTGCCCAGACTTTCACACCAAATCCACGTAACATCATCAGATGCAGCCTGGGCCTTCTCACCTTTGGCCCCTTGACAAGAGAAAAGAGGAGGTCAGATTTTGGAGAAGAGGGTAAGCACTATGCCTTCCTTTTCTTACTTTAGGCAAAAGCAGGAAAAGTATTTAGAGATAAACCATAAGTTTTGACAAACACTTTGAAATGTGTTTAATCTCTAATTAGAGAGCCAAAAAAAGCCTCATTTCAACCTTGGTAAGATGATTACACTTAGTTCAGATCTCATAAAGGCTACCACCAGGGAGACACTGCTTTCTTTAAGACAATCAGCTTCAAAGGTAGAACAATTGTGCTTTTAAAACTTACGAGGGTTCTTCTGACACAGCAGCTCCTTCTTCTAGTTCTTGAGCTTGTTTGTACCACGGCAGCTTGGCCTCTACTGGAAGTTTCTCTGCGAATTAAGTGCATGCACATAAAAGACAAGAGGTTAAAACCAATCTGGGATTTCAGGGGAATTCCTGTTTCTCCTCGCCAGTTCTTAGTTTTGCACTATACTTAGAAATCACTATGTTGATAACCACAAATAATAAGTTTTTAGGTAAATTGCTGCCTCTGATGATGGTTATATCAAGCAAAATAGAATTGAATTTTAAAAATGTTTAATAATACTAGACTTGGGGTACATGTTTCCCCTTTATTATGTTGAATAGCAAAGAAAAGACCATTTATGATGAAAGTCAGAACCATAGAAGCACTAGTTCAATATGCATATAAAGAATCATCAAAGTATCTTTTCACTATTTTCTATTGAAAAGACAGAGTGATATTTACCTTTTAAAACAAACACAAAGTACAGTAAACTATATTGTGATATTTTCATAAACTCTAACTTGGTTTCTTCTTTTGCCTTTTTGCTAAGTGTGATCTATGCCACATTGTCAAAAACAAACTTTGGCACTCTGAAATTCACAAAACATTGCTTTAGATGTGTGACTCATTCGACACCACCCCAAGGCTCAATGACAATTGAAATATGCACAGCTTAGGGGTCCATGATCCATAATTTGATTTGTTTTACCTATTTATCTAGCTTTGGCCAAACAATTCTGAACAAGCTTTCTAACTATTTCCTGGGGGAAAAATTGCAGAATACAAAAAGAAAAAGGGAGGTTATAATTGCTCCTACAGAAGTAACTGCCAAGATTCCCATTCTGACATATTTATTAGGGTCATTTATAGGCATATTTGCCTTTATAGTATGAGCCAGTGAAGTTCTATCACCGTTTCATAACATGTAATTGCAAGATGAAAGAAATATGTCTATATATGCATTCACCATAGAATTATATGGTATTTTAATGACGTTCGAGAGCCAGGCTCACTCCCTAGTTGTGAAAATCCAGATTTCATTCTTGATAGTTAACCACAAACTGTTTTTCTGTCCATGAAGTGGTTTGGTAAAGATAGAGCTAATGAATAATTGACTATTTTATATTAGGAGCATCACTCCTTGTCCTTCATGTGCAGCAATTGTTTCTCTTTTTTTTTTTTTTTTTTTTTGAAGAAGGAATAGTTTTTTTTCAGCACACACAACAATATGAGCCAAGCAGTCCACAGAGAAACTCAAACTCAACTGCTACTGGCAAAGTCCAAAGAAAAACTGAAACTGAGCAGCTGCCAGCATAGTAAACATGCTCTATTTTTAGACATGAGCTCTGTGGCCAGCTCTGCTTTACAAACTGAAGAACACAGAATAGCAACAAAACTAAAAAGATACATGGGTGCACATGCACACTAACTCCACCCACACACAGCTTGTTTACAAGAAATGTGCTGCACGACCCCCAACCAGACCTGAGCTGAGGGAGCCTGACTAAATTATCCTGTTTTCCCCACAACCTACTTTTCCTAGATCTTCTCGTCAGCTTTTTTTTTTTTTTTTAACAACAAATACAAATTTTTAACGAATATTTGTTAAATAAACAAACAGGAATCTTAAACATTATCAGAATTCTGTTTCTTGTATGTTTCCAGTTAGGTAACCACAAGACATTTTTGTGAAAGACAGAAAGAAGGAAGCAGCCATTTTGCAGCTGACACATGACACTCCTGATCTGCTGACACCTAGCTGGCATGAAACAGCCTCTGGGACTACAATTGCTCTAACTCCACTGCATTGTCTTTCTGTTTTCCTGACTCCTGGGCCAGATATGGATGTTTATCAACTTGACAAAGGGCCCTTGTTTCGTGCAGCAATTGTTTATAGCCAGAAAACAAAGGGAGTGAGACACGTAAAGCTGGCAAAGCCAAAATGATTCACTAATATTTTAAACACAGCAACATGGTACCTATATGCTGTGGACTGACTAATCCGTGTCCCCCAAAGTCCATACATTAGGAGCTTAATTCCCACTGTAACTACAGAGGGTGGGAAATCCTATCATGGTAATTGAAAGGTTGGGCCTTAAAGAGGTGATTAGATTGTAGGACCAAGCCATAGTGAATGGATTAATAATGGTCAGGGGTGTGGCTCTGAGGGCTTTACAAGAAGAGCACATGAGAGATTAGTCTCTCTCTGCTCTGCCATTTCTGCCATGTGAGACTCCTGGGTCACTAATGCCACCAAGACAACCCTCACCAGACATGTTCCTTGGACTTTAGACTTCCTAGCCTTCAAAACTGCAAGCAATAAATTTTGTTTTCTTTATAAATTACCCAGTTCCAGGTACTAATGTTATAAACAACAAAAACAGACTAACACACTATATATACATCATTGTACAACTACCTCATCTATCACAATGAAATGTCTCAGTCAATGAAGCCCACTCTGACAGCATGAGCTAGCTGTGTCTTTCAATACTGAAGCATTCAGTACGGCACCAATAATGGGCTTGTACTACTTTACTGTGGATTTGAACTGAATTCTGTCAGATGTACCTGTGGCCACCTTCTCCCATATTTGAGGACATTAATGACAGTCAAGAGTTAAAGGTAACATTTACAAAGAACTTACTATATGTCAGGCACAAGGCTAAGCACCCTATTTACATTATATCTCATTTAATTCTCACATGATCTCTGAGGTAGATATTGTAATTATCCCCATTTTAAGATGAGAGATGCATTTGTTAAAATTAATCAGGATTTCTGTTATGTTTTGTTTTTTGCTTTCCTTTTATATCATTAACTTAGATTTCATAATGTCATTCATTCTCACCAAGGGCAACCTATAGTATAATAAAGAGCTACGTTGTAGCTCATTTTCTGGGAAATTTAATGGAACAAATTAAGAAAGAAAAGGGAATATTTAATGTTATAAATTGGAGGATAAAGAGTTCTTTTTTTTGAATGGTTTGTGACTTTGGATTTTTCTATCTCACTCACACAGACTAGTTACAATTCTAGCATGGAAATCAGATTAGTATTCATGCTAATCGGAGAGTCCTAAAATAATTACAATACATCTTTCTCACTACATAGAACTTTTCTAAAATTTCTTTTTAATAAATTATTAGCAATATCTATTATATTCTGATATGTTTTGAATTTTCATTTCAAATTATGGCCTGGAATTCAGTCTCATATTTATGTTTTAATTTTCCATATGAAAAACAAGTTTTCTGTTTCATTAGTTCAAAGTATGAGATGTCCCAGTGTATTTCAGACTTAGCAAAGTAGACACATTCTGACCCACTCCCTTATTTTTAATAGCAAGAAATGTGTATAGTAAATCATAACATATATTTCTATACTATCTAGTCGCCCTTTAAGCAGATATATGAGTATCTAATATTTTTTAGTAACAATCTTCAAACAATTTTATGACTAAGGAGATAATTACATAGATTTCTACACGTAATCCTTAGTCAAAATTTGCAATCAAAACCATTTGAAAGATTTAAAAAAGAATCAAGACCATTTAGTAGAGTCTAAGTTATAATGAATTGTTACTAAGAATACTTGGGATACTTAAAAATATCCCCCAAGTTTAAAACCAGTATCTGAATACACATAACCATCAACAGACTGGTAGTAGAGCACTTGTCAAGTTACCTTTGGGTTTATAGCAGGGAGTGGGTATGATGCATTCCTCTTTGATGTGGGGCTTTGTTTTGGGGCTACAGCCCCCTGTGTGCATTCCTCGATGGTCGATGCAGAGGACCACACGGTACCTGAGGCCCTGGCCACACGTCACCGTGCACTGGAAAGAGATCGCAAGAGAGAGGAGACTCATAGGCAAAGCCTTGTTTACTTTTCTTCACTTCCCACCTGATACTTTTTATATACAGACTCCTTTTTATATGAGGACTGCTGGTGGGTTTATACCTGTTCTTACCAGTCATGAGATCTTTATCCTGTTTGGCTACTTGAGGTGAAGCTGGCTGAAAATTAAATCACTTTCAATTTCTTAGCTTTGGATTAATCAGTCAACAATCCTTAAGCACCCACTGTGTGCAAAGTCTCAAGTCAAGCACCAAAAAGGAGAAAAGAAACTGTAGAGTATGTTCAATTTTGATTACCCAAACTGCATTTTTATGTGGTTACTTTGCTAATGACTGCTATGTCCAAAAATATGGGAAATGCTAGCTCCCAAATGGATAATAAAACATTTTAAACTGCTAGTTAATTTATATTACAGCATGGATAATCTAATTGATTATATCGAAATGGAAAAAAAAAATGTTTAAAGGAACTGATTGAATGGCCCAATGTGGATAGCACCTCCAGTGGTTCTTAATGTCTGACAGTGTGTCTAGATATAAAAAAAAGTCACAGCTCTGGTCTGCTGGCACAAAGCCACATCTCAGAGAAGAGTCTTTTGTCATTTCTATGGCTGAGGGCACAATGTTTATTTCATCCTCTTTCTATCTCCTTTGCCATTTCTCTTTTCGTATTAGTAGCCAGGAAACCTGGAATGACATTTTATGTTTGATTACAGCAGGTTTCCTAATGTCCATAATACTTTGGTTTTAATTCTCCTGCTTTATTGTACTATTTTAATTTCATCCTTTTTGCCCCCCAATGAATAATATACACAGTTTAAATTTTAATCCACTCAGACCCTCCTTGGATATAGACAGAGTATAGTCAATAAAAATTGAAATCAAACTTCTGGTCTACTGAGCTCTATCATCGAAGCAGCTTTTACAGATTCAGGGTAAGTCATTCAGTCTCAATTGCTCTTGAAAGACATTTTCTGCCCCGTGCCATTTGAGGGAACTTTATCTGGGCAGCAATAGAGGCTTCTTGAAGTAACTTGAAGAAAGACATTAAAAGAAGTCATTTACTTTAGGTCATGCTGGATTTGGGGCATTCCTAGGAGCTAAGCTGGTAAGCTTCTAGACACCTCCAGAGGAGAAGTGTGGAGCTGCACAGGGTACCCGGTGGGGCCATGATGATGAGAGGGAAGAGTGGACTTACTCTCCTAATGAACAAAGAAAGAAGGCACAGTTACCGGAGACCACTCCTGTGCCAGCCATTTAGGGCAGTCAAAAATGTTGCAGGGCTGCACGATGGGCATCTTAGGGGTGTACATGCATTTCCACTCTTCCACTGAAGTGACATGCCCCTGGATGTCCTCCTCCACACAGGAAACTGCCCGGCTCTGGATGCCCCCCCCACACGAGGAGGAGCACGCGGTCCACGGGGTGGCCTCCCACCTACAGAAGCAAGGGGAGTCATCAGGGCAGACATGCACATTGCCAGATCTCCTCAGTGACCTGTCAGACCCACCCCATTCCCAGGGCCTATGGGAAAACCAGGTTCTGAGAGAACCAAAGCCATCTATTGCCTGAAATCTGACAAGTAAGAGGGAAGGATTCAGCGTTGGCAAAAGTGCTCTGTAAACCATGAAGCTCTACACACGTGTGAGAGATTAGTTTTGAGAGCTGTCCACAAGGACATCTGTGCTGTCTGTAACCTACTCAACAGGTGGAAGTTCGATCCTCAGTCCTTCTTCCTGTAGTTTCTATATCTATACCTATATCTATATCTATACCTATA